AATAAATGTGAATTCTTTAAAAAGAAAGTTGAATACCTTGGTCATTACATTTCTGCAGAAGGAATAGCAGTGGACACTTGAAAAATTGATACCATCAGAAATTGGCCTATACCTAAAAATGTATCTGATGTTAGATCCTTCTTAGGATTAGCAAGTTATTATTGAAAATTTGTTAAAGGATTTTCAGCAGTAGCTGCATCTCTTACCGATTTATTAAAAAAGGAAAAATCATTCAAATGGGGTGATAAGGAACAACAAGCTTTTGATCAACTCAAACACCAGTTGACATCTGCTCCAGTTCTGCTTTTACCCAACCCAACAAAGCCTTTCATTTTAACAACAGATGCTTCGGATTTTGCAATAGGTGCAGTATTAAGTCAAAATCAAGGGAAGGGTGAACAACCAGTTGCATATGAGTCTTGTAAATTGTCTAATGCTGAACAAAATTACCCTACACATGAAAAGGAACTGTTAGCTATTGTTCATGCTATAAAATTGTGGCGTACTTACCTGGAAGGACAAAAATTTACAGTCATAACTGATCATGCATCTCTTGAATTCATTAAATCTCAAATGAACCTCTCACAAAGACAAGCCAGATGGTTAGAATTGTTGCAATCAATAGATTTTGAAGTAAAATATTGTCCAGGCAAGACTAATGTAGTTACTGATGCTCTTTCTCGCTTACCACATCTTGCTAATGTTTCAATTATCTCTACACAATTGGACAATCATATTAATTGGAAAGAAGCTTATTTAAATGATAATTATTTTGGTCCTATCTGGAATATTTTAAATAATTTAGAAAATAGTGATGCAAAGCAACAAGCAAGAACTAAATATTTTGAGCTTCAAAATGGTAAAATATACTTAATAGATGGAAAGAGACTAGCAGTCCCAGCTGACAAAGCCTTACGAACAAAAATTTTAAAGGAACATCATGATATTGAAATCGCTGGTCATCTTGGAATTGATAAAACATGTGAATTAGTTATGAGAAATTTTTATTGGCCTAAAATGAATAAAGACATACGTAAATATATACTTAGTTGTAATGAATGCCAACGTAATAAGAGCAGTAATCAAACACCTGCAGGATTGTTGCAACCTTTATCCATTCCAAACCAAAGATGGGAACAAGTTACTATGGATTTTATCACTCAACTTCCATCAACACGTCAAGGAAAAGATGCAATTGTAGTATTTGTTGACAAATTAACAAAACAAGCACATTTTATCCAGCTAATACTACTATTACTGCTCCTGAAGTTGCAAAAATTTTCTTTTCAGTCATTTTTAAAAATCATGGATTACCCAAAGCAATCATTTCAGATCAAGATGCAAAATTTACCAGCAATTTCTGGAAAACAATTTTTCAACAATTAGGTACTAAGTTGTCAATGTCTACAGCTTTTCATCTGCAGTCAGATGGACAAACAGAGAGAATGAATCATATGTTAGAAGAAATGTTAAGAATTTATGCAACATACAATCAAGACCAATGGGATGAATACTTACCTGCAGCAGAATTTGCATACAATAATTCAAAGAATGTCTCCACAGGTTTCACACCATTTGAACTTGATTGTGGATATCATCCAAACACCCCAGTGACAATTTTATCGAATAATTCAACAAGAGTTGCTACCATGAATGAATTCTTAGATAGAGGTTGGAATCGTCCAAAAAATCCTTAGTCGACTACTAGTTGGTCAAAATTTCTTTTAGTTGACTAATTAGTCGACTATTTAGTTGACTATTTAGTCGATTATTTTAGTTGACTATTTAGTCAATTATTTTAGTCGACTATTTAGTCGATTATTTTTAGTCGACTAAATAGTTGACTAAATTAGCGTGTAACCATTTGCTTTGCAAAATGGTCACACACTAGTCACGGGAATAACATCCTATTTAATTAGAATATTCATTATTATTAACGTTTTTTTTTAATTTGCAGATTACAAATTCATCTCCATTTGAATCTTTAATTTTCTTGAAATACTTCCATACAAAGCTATATGTTATAATTCGTTTTTTTAAAGGTCTGAAACCACTGCTTGAGCTCGAAGCCAACAAATTGTTGGAATGATTTGACCTTGTATCAATGTTTATTATTTCGCATGGATAATTATCACCAACACCAACACCAACACCACCATTATCATCTTCTTCATAATATTGATACTCCACATATTTATTTTTATTATTTTCCATTATTTTATTTTTAAATTTTTCTGTACCACAAAAAACGACAATAATAATAATTAGTATTAGTCGACTATTTAGTCGACTAAATTAGTCGATTCCAACCTCTACGTTCTCGCGTAGCAAAAGCTTACATTGCGTCCTCAGTTGTAAACTTGTTATCTTTATACAATGTTACGGGGCATTGACCACATTTGGGAAATTGTATTGCAAATAAATTTATATGAGATTGTTGGCTTCTTATTCCCATATCTGACGACTAGGGTTTATGAAACATTAACTCATAATTTTATGATTCTATACGAAAATTTTGATGTAGTAGGACAGTACAAATTTTTATGTAAAGGCAAATATTATGGGCCACAAAGCTTTTGATTCTAATACTAACTAACATATCTAACACTCTTACCGTAATAAACTAGAACACGCAAAGCCATAATCAATGTAAAAATAGATTCTGTATATAGGAATATCAATTCTTGACTGATTTTCTTGAATGGCTGGTAAACTGTCAATTATTATCGTTAATAAATTAGATTTCCAACAATGAATTTTCGAATATAAGTTGATTTGCCTTCAAATTTGTTTGATGAACATTCTTTGGCCTTATTATAAATTAAAATCCGATTTCTATCTATATCAAGCATTTTTTTACATATGGTTTTAGTTTCCGTATGAGGAAAGTTCCCCTGGATATTTTTAAATAAATAAGGATGATTTTGGGTCTTTTACCGTGATAAAAAACGTTTCATAAGAATATTAAACAACAACAATAATAATGCTTGTTGAAATTTTCTCAACATTAATTGTCAGTTATTTAACTTATTTATGGATAATTTATCCAATTTACTTCTCGCCTTTACGTAAAATACCAGGCCCGCCACTTGACTATTTTTTAATAAGAAATTTTATTAGTAATATTCTCACATCTTATGTAAGAAGAAAAAAAAATTGCGAAAAGAAAGACAGCGCGCGTGTGTGCGTGAAAAATAGCATTATTAATAATTTTTTTTGCACAATAATAAAAATTTTATTCACAGACAGGTCGAGTAGATCAAACGGAATTGGTAAATAAATATGGTGGAATTGTCAAAGTTTATGGATTATTCAATAAACCAGACCTTATTATTGCCGACGAGAAAGCTTTACGAAAAGTATTAGTTAGTGGGGCGAGTGATTTTAATAAGCCTAAAGGATTTTTGAATGTCATAGAACCAATTTTGGGCAACGGATTATTGATAGCAGAAGGTAAAGAACATAAAAAACAACGTAAATTAATGGATCCTGTTTTTAACCACAGTAATGTAAAGGTAATAATTAATTAATTAGTTAGTTTAATAAATAAAATAATTTTTTTGGGGTTAATTTTATTATTATTTTAGAATATGGTATCTACATTCGTAAAGATTGGCAATACTGTAAAAGAATTATGGAAAAATGAAATAAAGAATAATCATAATAATGATGTTGTTGAAAAAAAGAGAGCAAAAATTAATATTCTGAGTTATATGTCAAAGGCAGCATTGGATACTATTGGTATAGTAGGTAAATATCATATACATAATAAATATTGTAATCAATTAATTATTTCTCCATTTAATTCTTTTATCACTTTATTCTAATAGGATTTGATTATGAATTTAATTCATTAACAACATCATCAAAACTATCAGATGCATATAAAGCTTTCTTTAACTCAAAAACTCATTTAATATATCGATTATTATCAAAAAAATTTCCTATACTAGAATCACTGCCAGTCAAAGGTTTTCGAGATGTTAAAGAAACCTCACGTGTAATTGAAGAAGTTACAACCGAATTGGTTAATGATAAATTAGACAAATTTGCTAAAGGGGAATTAAGCAATGAGAATGATTTATTGAGTAGTTTAATAAGAGCCAATAATGAAGATGATTTGAACGAAGATGAACAAATGAAATTTGAGGATGTAAAAAATCAGGTAAAAAATATTATTTACTATTGAATATATGATGATGATAATATTTTCCTTAATTAAATATATATATGTATATATATATGTATATATATATATATAGATTATGACATTTTTATTTGCAGGGCATGAAACAACTGCTGTAACATTAACTTGGGCACTATATTATTTATCTAAGAATCTAGAAGTTCAAAATAAATTAAGAAAAGAAATTGTTAAAGTATTTCCAGATAAAGATTTTGTACCAACGCCAGAACAAATCAATTCATTGGAATATTTAAATGCTGTTTGTAAAGAAACTCTTAGACTTTCTCCTCCAGGTATGTTCTTCTATTTAACAAAGTGGTAATTATGATTATGATTTTGATATTAATATATTATTTTTTAAAAAATAATAGGCCCGTTTACAATGCGTGTAACAAATAAGGATACCATAATTAATGGACACTTAGTTCCAAAGGTTATTATCATTTATTATTATCAATAATTTATTATCCCACACATATTATGTATATTAATTACATTAAAATCTATCATTATCAATAATAATAATTTTTTTTTATATCCTTTAGGGAACAATGATATTTGTAGCAATATTCACACTTCACCATATGGAGTCAATCTGGGGTCCAGATGCTAGAGAATTCAAACCATCACGTTGGTTTGATGAGCATACCAAAAAGGTCGTAACAAATTATAATTATATGCCTTTTATGACAGGTCCAAGATCATGTATTGGCATTAAATTGGCACTTAATGAAATAAAAACTATCATAACAATGTTAATAAGAAATTTTGAGTTTCATGAAATTGAAGGATCAGAGATCAAAAAACAATTTAATTTCATTTATAAGCTGGATCCATCTTTTGAATTATGGATAAATGAAATTGATAATTAATTGATGATAATGAGTGAAGAAGTAGTTGAGTAAAGAGAAAGTGTGAGATTTTTTTTTTTCAGCAAATAATTTTTTTAATTCAATTCATATGAAATCAATTCAAATATAATTTATTTAATACAACAACCATCTTTCATTTTGTCATTATTATTATTTTTGTTATTACTGTTTTACAAAATTAAAGGCATTTAATCATTAAAAATATTAATATTAAACATGAATCAGTGAAATCCTCAAATATGCATGCCAGGAGTAAATGCCAATTGAAATTTCCCGAAAAATTTCCGGAAGCAAATAGATTTTCTGGTCATGAAGAAAAAATTATATGGGCATGTTACAGACAAAAATCACATGTGTCAAAATTTAATACAGTTCACTCTCTCCATAACGAACCCTCTGTCCCTATATGTAATTTCTCTGCTTTTGGTCGTTATAGAGAGAGAAATTAATTATAAAAAATT